TGGAGGGACCCTGGGGGTGGAGGGGGGCTGGGGGGCCTTTTAGGGGCCTCTGGGGGGGTCAGCAGGGGTGGAGACACCGTACAGTGGGTCAGGGATCCAGGCTGGGGGAGGTCTTTGGGATGGGGGGACCTGGGGGTCCCCCAGCTCACCTTCCGCCCCCAGCGCATCGGGGAGGACTACATCGCCGACCTGGACCAGCTGCGCAAGCTCCTGGCGCACGTGGACGACGAGGCCTTTATCCGGGACGTGGCCAAAGTCAAGCAGGTACCGGGACGGGGGAGGGGGTCCCGATCCGGGCCCCGATCCTGGGGGAGCGGGTCTCACCCGTGCTTTCCTCCACGCCAGGAGAACAAGCTGAAGTTTGCGGCCTACCTGGAGAAGGAGTACAAGGTGAAGATCAACCCCAACTCGCTCTTCGACATCCAGGTGAAGCGCATCCACGAGTACAAGCGCCAGCTGCTCAACTGCCTCCACGTCATCACCTTCTACAACCGTGAGTCCGGGGCGCCCGGCCTCTGGGGTGCGCCAGCTCCGTGCCCGCCGCCCGTCCCAGAGCTGCGGGGAGCCCAGGCCTCCGGGCTCCCAGTGCCCCTGCTCTACCCACCGGGCCCCACCCCCTCCCAGCGCTGGGGGACCCCAGGTGTCCGGGATGCCCCAAAGCCCCTGCCTTCCACCCCTGCGCCCCCTCGGGGAGGGCAGTGCACCCAGGTGTCCTGACCCCCACCCCAGCCCCCCCAGGCATCCAAGCTCCCAGCCCTCCTGCTCACACCCCCCAGGCTGGAGACAACCCAGGCGTCCGGGCGCAGCCCCTCACCCCTCTGTCTCCCCGCAGGGATCAAGAAGGAGCCGAACAAGCACTTTGTGCCCCGCACCGTCATGATTGGGGGCAAGGTGAGGCTGGGAGGGAAGGGGCTGAAGGGTGGGGCTATGGGGTGGGCGGGGAGTTCAGTGGGGTGGGAGTGCTGCCCAGGTCTGGGGTCCCCCCAGAGCAGAGCAGGGCGGGGGGCGAGGGATAGGGTGAGGGGGGCTGACTGCTGCCCCCCGGCCCCCCAGGCAGCGCCCGGGTACCACATGGCCAAGATGATCATCAAGCTGATCACGTCTATCGGGGACATTGTGAACCACGACCCCGTGGTCGGCGACCGCCTCAAGTTCCTCTTCCTGGAGAACTACCGCGTATCCCTGGCCGAGAAGGGTAGGGCCCGACCCCTGACCTCTGACCCCCAAGGCTTGAGCCCCTCCATAATGTGTGTCCGTGGCTGCAAAGGGTAGGGCCTGCCCCTGGGTGAGGACAAGTGACCTCTGACCCCCCCAACCCCTAGGCTTCGTGTTTAACCCTGCATGTGCCATGAGTGACCCCGAGTGGGGGGTGAGTGCCCCCTAACCCTGGCTGCTGTTTAACCCTGTACATGCCAGCAATGGCCCCAGGGCAGGGGGGGGCTGACTCCCGAGTTCCCGGGCTGGCGTTTAACCCCGTGGTACCGTGGGCAGTGGTGCCGGCGGCCGACCTGTCGGAGCAGATCTCCACGGCGGGCACCGAGGCCTCGGGCACTGGCAACATGAAGTTCATGCTCAACGGGGCCCTGACCATTGGCACCATGGACGGCGCCAATGTGGAGATGGCTGAGGAGGCGGGCGACGGAAACATCTTCATCTTCGGCATGCGCGTGGACGACGTGGACCAGCTCGACCGCCAGGGGTGCGTGTTTCCCCCAGGGCTGGGGGCTCCCACTGCCCCCCTCCCCACTGCCCTGGGGCTAGAGACCCCCCATGACCTCTCAACCCCCCTCAGCTTCTTCCCAGTCTCCTCCTGGCTCCCTGGGGCTGGAGACCCCCTGACTGACCACCCCCATAGACACCTAACCCTTCCTCCCCTACCACTCTTTGACCCCAGGGGGTTCTGGGGGGCAGCTGTGTCCTGGGGTGACCCCAGCCCCCCCTTTCCTGGGAGCCCACGGTGACCCTCCTCATGCCCCCAGGTACTGCGCCAAGGACTACTACGACCGCCTGCCCGAGCTGAAGCAGGCCATGGACCAGCTCAGCACCGGCTTCTTCTCGCCCAGGCAGCCCGACCTCTTCAAGGATGTGGTCAACATGCTCATGAACCACGACAGGTCCCGCGCACCTGGGCCCCATCCTGCTGGGGGGCTGAGCCCCCGGCACCTGGCTTCTCCCCCCGCCGGGGAGCGGGCGCTTGGAGCCGGGAGGGAGCCACCAGGGCCTTTCCCCACCTGGCTGGGAAGGCCGTGGGGTGGGAGGGGTCCTTGCTGGGGCATCTGGGGTGCTGATACCCCGCTCCCTGCCTACCCCCCCAGGTTCAAGGTCTTTGCCGACTATGAGGCCTACATCAAGTGCCAGGAGCAAGTCAGCGCCCTCTACAAGGTGAGTGCCCGCCTGGCACGTGCGTATGTAAGCCAAGGCGGGGCCTGACACATATGATGGCCTCCCCCCCACCCCAGGACATGTCTGGGGGGGTCTGACGTGTGTCCTGAGGGGGCTGACACACTTGTCCGGTCTGTCCTGGAGAGGCGACACATGGGTCTGAGGACCCATGTGTCCATGCATTCAAGAGAGTCCTGACACAGTTGTGCATGTGCCCCAATGGGGCTGACACACTTGTCCATATGTGCCTGGGTGGAGGGGCAGCTGCATAGCCAAGTGTCCCAGGGGGGCTGACACGCGTGTCCAGGAGCTGACATGTCTGTTTGCTTGGGGGAGGGGCTGACGCGCGTGTCCCTGTGCCCGGGTGGGGGCTGACACGCATGTCTACGTGTGTTGCAGAACACGAGGGAGTGGACGCGTACGGCAATCCGCAACATCGCAGCCTCGGGCAAGTTCAGCAGCGACCGCACAATCGCGCAGTACGCCCGCGAGATCTGGGGCGTGGAGCCCACCCGCGCCAAGATCCCCGCCCCCGACGACCCCCGCGAGTAGCCCCCGAGGCCCCGCCCCCAGGCTGGA